TTACTCGGGTGGGACTCGAACCCACGACCTCCTGCTTACTAGTGCAGATGTCTTGAAAATACATCTTGAAAATAGTTCACGGTACCCGCTGCTTCATTTGACTCGGACCAGCCAGCTGACCCCAGCAAGCTTGGTGGTCGAGTGGTTAAGACATCTGCACTAGTAAGCAGGAGGTCGTGGGTTCATGTCCCACCCGAGTAAGCTTGTGAGGTTTTTTCGCAAGCTCTCGGACAAGCACTGAGCATACAGTGCTTATTATATACGTTGGGTAAGGGCAAACCTGTTATATATAATTAACAGAAAAGGTGTATTGTTTTGGAAAACGTTCAACAGTAACAAAGCATTTCATCCCAAAATCTGTTGGCCTTAGGACACACTGTAAAATATAACTCATTTCAGTATTCAGAAAGCAAAACATGCCTTTAATATATACACTAGACCAATTTTCCTCGCATTTTAAGATATGTCACAAAATCTTTCAAGCTTTCAACCAATGCACTGCCACAGAGCATATTTGGCAGTACAAAATACACCCACAGCTAATTTTTCCAGCAACATCACATTCATACCCTGTTGTTTTTCAAGGAAGTACCACTTCAACTTATTTTTCATCAAATGCTTTAAGATCTGTATCTTACCGAACTGCCTTTTTTAAAAACAAAATTACATATGATAAATGTACAATTACTAATATGAAACTCTTGTATCATATGGCTCCAAAATGGTGGCATTAGTACGCTGCAAGCTGCACATGTTCACCCATTCTTAATAAACATACATGTACCACACGTTTGAATTTGCTTATCATGCTTTCACGATGATTGCCTTGAAGAGTGTGCATAATGACCTTAGATATGCACACCAAACTGTGCAGCACTTTAAGAATTGTGCACTGTGTACTACTGAATGCAACAAATTTATAGAGAAACAACTTTCACCACGTGCACTCAAAACACATCTACATGTGGCATAAAACCAATTTACTTATTGTATCATGATCAATAATCAAACAAAATGCAACACAGTTTTATATTGGTTAAACAATGAAATGAGGAGCCCTTTTCCCCCAGTGCACTCAAATACACAAGGATTTACACATTTTTTTTCTGAGCTATAAAAGGAAGGAATGCCATTCCCCCCCAAAAGGAATCAGAAGCAGCATAATATGAATAATAATCGGATCTGAAAAATTCATATTTATAAACAAAATAGGTACTTACATTTTTTGGTGTAAATTTTCATTCACAAAATTCCTAATGGTTGCAGCTCTGACATGGCTGGAAACTATTGGGAGAAAAGCTGTACATTTTAGTTAGTAGGTAACTGTACCTTTTTACTGGGAGGAGTTCCCGGCACGAAGTCTAAGTCCTCACTATCACTGACACTGGCTTTATCAACAGCCTGCTCCACGGAAGCCATATGTGTCTGTTGAGAATCATGACCATCTTCACCCACTTCACACTCTTCAAAATTAGCTAGTAGTGTCCGGTTTGGTCTGGGTACCTGAGTAGTTTCTTCACTGTCTGCTGGGTCAGATGAGAGTTCTGGGAAGAGTGCCGGTCTAGCCTGATGCTTATGTGCTTGGCGGATATGTGAATGCAATGGAATGACAGCACAACTGGAACTCCTTGATGATATCCTGTTGATGTTTCCCAGCTCAAACTCAGGCTCAGCATCTTCCATCCTGAGTGATTCTGTGAATGTGAAGTTTTGAAGCATTCTCAGAATAAGTTTTAGGTATATCTCACACGAAAAAGAAACCAGCCTGATATGATTAATGTTATTGTGAGTTTTCTGAAGTGAACCTTAAGATACGTGAATGCAAAGCCAATATCAAACCCAAAAGGAATGAAAAATAACAAAGAATATGAAGTTGATGCACAAAATATTCCAGGTTTATTCAGTTTATACATGATGATTAAGTAATAGAACAAACTTCTCCCCCATAGTTAGTATGGGACGAAGTCTACTAAAGAATACCTCCTCAAACAGTCACAACAAATGCAAATTTCCCCTGCACCTATAGTTATTCGCTGAAAAGACTTGATCATCTATAGTGCCCCCGAGCTCCCACCATGCACTGCGGCACCACTGTCGTGTTCATCCTTATTTTCAAAGTGACTAAAAATGTCGGAGCCAGAGTGGGGAGGACGGGCGGGTGGAGACTGTTTGGGTAGGTATTCTTTAGTAGACTCATCCCACACTAACTGTGGGGAAGGAGTCTACGGCACTCTACCTACCCAAACAGTCACTACATATGCAAAGTAGCACAGGTCTAGGTGGGGGTTGGCTACAATATATGAAATGTCATAAAGGGGGCATACACCCATATGGTAACAAGTAAAAATATATGCATTGACAATGATGGCAAACATATTAATTACAAGAGGTCAGGAACATAACTCACTCTAATATATTCTCAAGGATGTGTTGCCATCTGTCTGTCCCACAGAGGGTCCCCCGACATCTGCACTGTGGACATTGTGATTGTCCTGCCATGTACGGAGTAGATATGCAGGATGTCCCTTTAGATAACAGGAAGTGAAGGTAGAGGATGACTTCCAGCATGCAGCTTTACAAATGTCTGCAATGGGAACACCCAAAAGTGAGACCTGGATGTAGAAACTGCTCTAACATCGTGAACTCTGATGTAGTGTTTACCTTGTTCATCGGGGTGTGATGGCCTGTCTGGATTAGCAAATTTGATAGCCAAAACTGTCCAGCGGGCGATTGTGTCTCTCACTGCTGGGCAATGAAGTCTGGTAGTAGTAATGAACAGTTGGGTTATTGTCCCTCTCAGAACTTTGGTTTTAGCTGGGTACCACTTCAGAACAGGAACTACGTTGTCTCCAGAGTGAGGAGAAATTGAAGGAACAAAATATCAGGGGCTTGAAGGAGGGAGTCTGGTTTTGGTCAGGAAACCAATAGCTGGGATGATACGAACATCATGTGGTTCCAAGCAAAGATGACCTTCGGTAACAGAGAGGGCCTTTAGCTCACAGCCTCTTCTAGAGGTAACCACAACCAGGAGGAAGGCCAACTTGATGCTGGTGTGAATAAGGACCGCAAGGCTTAAGGGTTCAATGGGAGGACTGGTAAGCATATGCAAAACTTCACTTAAATCACATGATGCAATTAGACTCTTGATGAGGGGACGTTCAACGAACATGCCGTGTAACAGGTTTTGAAGAGCCACGTTGTTAGAAATTGTGGAACCACCATGTATGGCAGATGGAGCTGACTTGTGGTTACAAATTGTAGAAACTTGCAGCCCAGAGTCAAAAAATTACATGAAGAAGTCTACAACGGCATACAAAGGAGCATCATTTGGAGCAAAAGCCTGTTTGTTGCACCATTTAACGAAATGCCGTAATCTGCTATTGTAAATCTTGTGGGTGGACAAGCCTTGCCCCTGTGCGGCCATGGCTGCAGCATCGCCAGAAGGTCCTGCCAAGTGGAAAGAACGTTGGAAAATGTCCAACAGGTTATATCCAGATCCCTGGGTGCCGGATGCAGAATTCTCGACTTGAGTTGGCGGAGAATGTCTGGTCTGTCTGGAAAGACAAATGGTTGGTGAAACAGGAGTCTCGTTAGTTTGGGGAACCAAGGCTGACGAGGCCAGAATGGAGCAATCACAAGTATCCGGTAATGTTCGTGTTTCATTTTGGAGAGAACTGTAGGGATTAACAAAATGGGAGGGAAGGCATACCCCAGTATGCCTGTCCAGTCTATTTGGACAGCATCCGTGACCCACTCACAGGGATGCAGCTTTCTCGTGCAAAATACCAGAAGTTGGGCACTGTCCCGTGAGGCAAAGAGATTGATGTGTGAATTGTCTCTTGCTGTGAAGAGAGCCTTGAACACTTCTTGGTGAGGAGTCCACTCGTTGGGCAGATTTTGCTGCGAGAGAGTGTGTTAGCCACAGTGTTGTCTGGCCCTGCAATGTGGAATGCCTGCAGGTTGTTTACTTTGCCCACCGGAGAATCTCCCATGCAAGGACGCATGATGTGGGGGATTGTGTGCCATCTTGATGATTGATATAAGCCACCGCTGTTGAATTGTCAAATGCGCCAAGACGTCCTCCGCTTTGAAGTAGGGTATGAAGGGTTGCAGGGCATTGAGGATTGCTTGAAATTCCATGACATTGATATGGTTTTCTTGGAAGCAGGTATCTGACGAGAAGGAAGGGAGGCCCCCAACTGCAAGCTGACGCATCGGTCGTCATCTCTACAGGAGGTTTTGGGAAAGGAAAGGCAGGCCGGCCCATCAGGTGATCTTCCTCTAACCACCATAAAAGGTGATGGCAGATGTCCTCTGTTACGGGGACTGGATGGCCGAATAGGTCCTTTTTGGGCCAGTATTGGGAAAGTAGATGAAGTTGCAGCGGTCTCATTTGGAGTCTGCACTAGGGTACTTGCTTGACCATGCTTGCCATCAGCCTGAGGGGATGGATCCTAACAATGGCAGGTGGTACTTGAGTGGAAGAGAGATGCATTCCTGTAGGTTGTCTATGCGCTCGGCCGTTGGGGTGGTAATTCTCCTGCGAAGGTTGAGTATCAAGTTGAGATGGAGTCAGCCTTGACTTCTCTTAACTGATGATGAAGCTGAGGCGGGTAGAAAGGTTGTAAGTTAGGCGGGTTGACATCACAGCCTCCTCTAAGGTGCTGCCTACGATCAGCAAATTGTCCAGGTACTGAAAAATCATCATGTCTAGCTGGTGTAGATGGGTGGCCACAGACTTTGCTACCCCAGTGAAAACTTTGGGAGATGTCAAATGGCAGGGTTCCAAACTCGTAGACATTTCCCTTGTACATGAATTGAAGAAACTTGTGGTCCACTTTGTGAATAGGGATGTGTAGGTAAGTGTCTCAGAGGTCGAGCGCTGATGCCCAAGACAGAATTGGAAGGGAGCTTATGACTGTTAATATGGTTTCCATCCAAAAGTTCTTGGGATGGGTGAATATGTTGAGTGGCTTGAGAGTGATGATAGATTGCCAGTTGCCGGTCTCCTTCTTGCACGTGAGAAAGAAGGTAGACAGGAAACCGTTTCTCACTTGGGCGGGTGGGACATGACAGACAGCCTGCCTCTGAAGCAGGGATTTCAGTTCGTCTTCCAGGGCCAGGCGTTTGCTTAATTTGTGAGGAACTGAGAAAAGAAGGATGAACATGGCGGCGGTACCAAAGAGCATGGTTGGAGGTTGGGGGCACTACAGATGATCGAGTCTTTTCAGTGAATAACTATAGGTGCATGGGAAATTTGCATATGTAGTGACTGTTTGGGTAGGTAGAGTGCCGTAGACTTGCAAGGTTTATTTAAACTCCAATGCATGAACCAGAAAAAGGGGAGTATAAAAAATTCAGTTCCAAACTATCTGGGGAAATGGTTTTTGGCTGTTCTACAAACACTGTGGCAAAGTCTTTTTAGTTCTGATTGGCTTTTTCATAGTGTTGTAGCAGAGTACTTTTTCAAATACAGAGTACCGCCGAGTACTTAAATTCCCGAGTACCTCAAATCCAAGTACTTTGCCAACCAAGTTTAAGAGCTGATTTTCAAGTACAAGTACTTGTACCTTTGAGTACGAGTATTTCTAATTACGAGTACAAGTAAGAGAACAAAACAGTCAAATCTGTGTCAAAATGTTTAAATGAATATAAACAATGGATCTACAAACTTTTTTTGTAACAGATTGTTTCTATTAAAATCTGCCATAGCATTCCGAAATCAGTATGTGCAACATTTGTATGGCAAGAGAAAGGTCATCAGTTCTGATGCACCAACAGCAAAAATATTTATTCAGAGACAGAGGTAAAATGTAAAAGCATCAAGAATAAGCAAATGCCGTTGATGAATGGCCCATTTGATGCCGTTGATGAAAAGTTATCAGCTAAAGTCTTTGTGACTGTCATGCCAACCCAAAACATGTAAATAACATTCTGAAACAATATACATCAAAACATGTAAATAACATTCTGAAACAATATACATTACAATGGGGTAATGTACAGTACAACACTGCATGTATCAGTAGGCAGTATGACTTCAACTCATGAGGAATTATGCAAGCACAACACGTACGCGTAAATGTGGATGGGTGACGTCTGCTTCCTAGACTTACATTCCTATGCCCGTGTTTTTCTATATTCTAGATTCTATGTCAGGAGCGGGAACCAGACAAGCTACATCTAGATTGAGTGTTACTAGTCTTGAATCCAAGATGCCTTTTGCGGTGCTGCGATCCGTTATTGCAGTGTGCAGTGGTGATGGTTCATATTGCAGAATAAACAGGAATATCTTGGAACCAAGACTAGAAATACATTGGCGTTTTGTGTTCGTAATTGGTTGAGACAGTGAATGTGTAGGCCTAGTGTTTGTCGCACTGAATATCAGTATGCAAGGATCAATTTTCTTGTGCTGCTGTCTTTCAATGGCTATTATGGGATTTAACAGATTCTTAAATCAAGTACCGTTAATTGAGTACCAGTACCTCGATGCTCGAGTACAATTTTATTCAGAGTACTTTGCAGCCTGAGTGGAAGAACTATTATTCGAGTACAAGTACTTGGAAATTTGAGTACAAGACACGAGTACTCTGAAAACAGTATTCGAGTAGTAGTACTCCAATACACTACTACAACACTGCTTTTCCGCAATTTGCAGACAAGGTATTTTTTTGGCCAAGATTTTTTTTCTTCT